AAACTGGCTCACTATCCTTTGTGCATAGGATTTATTACTATTTTAGTGGCTTTTTACTTGACATTTCTTTCTTTGTCCCAGACTCATGATGAGAATAAAAAGAGAAAAACACTATTCTCTATTTCACTACCAAGCTCAAACTTTGCTGTCAATCTTTCCTACTCTGTTTATCCACACAATGCTTTAGATGTTTGCTGATCCTTGCAGCATGTAGGATACATGTTGCATGCAAACTTAGTGATGACCAAGCTAACCATAAAGTTCTCTGTAAGTCAGAGGAAGATCAGTGGAGCTCTGAGTCTGTAGTTCAGGGCTTGTAGTGTAATATGGCCTTTGGTCTGCTCTCCCATGTTTGTGTCAGTAGACAAGAGTTTCAATACAGGCTTGTTAGCAGCAGTCTGCCGCTGCATACGAGACCTCTTACCTCCTTCTGAGAACTGGCTCTCATGTCTAGCTTTTGCTTACAGTCCCTTTATTTGTATGCAGCTGCAGATCACATCATCAGTAGCTGCTTATGGCAAAAATCGTAATGAAACCCGTGTCAGACAAGCCCAAATGAATGGGTTGAGTTTGGCTAGTGAAAAGGAGCTTCTTCTGTACTCAAACATGAAGTGAAACTAAATTTATCATCATTCTGAGATAAGCAGCCTTTTTGTGTTGTAGAAATGTCTATATGAACATTTTTCCTCTCCATTTGCAGCCTTTGGAGGTAGCAGTACCCAAAGTGGACCCACTCTCCCTACCCCCATGGCTTTATCAGCTGACCCATCACAGTCTTCTAACAGAGAGCCTGGGTCCAATCTTCTTACTCCTGAGCAGCTTGTTAAGTTGGTCAGTGGTGTTCTAAGTGAGAAACTTGTACAGGAAATTGGTGGCATGTTTCAATTCAACATTGATGGTGAAAATGGAGGAACGTGGTATTTAGATCTAAGGAGTGGACATGGAAAAATATATACCGAGAATCCGGGCGATAACCCCAATGTGGTGCTCACCATGAGGGTGCAGGATATGCAGCAGATATTTTATGGACAGACAACAGCTTTTGATGCTTACATGCAAGGCTCTTTGAAAGTTGATGGTGATTTAAGGATGGCCATGAGTTTGGAGGCTATTGTTAAAATGCTCAAGGAAAAACCAGTTGTTCCTGAAAAACCAGTTTTGCAAGGAAATGGAGTATATGTGGTTTAAACGCTGAATTATTTTTTATTTACTGAAAGTGCCCCTGTTCGTTTTAAAGCCTTCCATTCATTTTTTTTTTCATTGCTTGGGAAGAGTTCATGTTGCCTGACTTTGACTTGTATATTGACTTGTATATTTGACTTTACTCAATAGTTGCTATTGGAAACCACTGACCAATCATAATTGATCTAATAGCTCTTTTCCAGTCCCTCTGAACTTTGAGGATAGGCAAACTCACCTGTGTCTTAATTGAATAAAATGTTTGTCTTTATCGATTCATTTGGTTGTCTGAATCCTTTTACCAGTCAGACTGACTGGCATCAAATTTCTCCTCACAATAAAGGAAATAATCATTAGATAAAGAAACTTTTGATTTTTAAACAAAATCTTCTCACTAGCACCTTAGGAAATATATAGAGGACAGTATGGAGAATTTGCATACTGATATTAGAGTATAAAGGTGTAACCCTTTAGTCCACCTTTAATGAGAATGCGGTCTGTCTACTCGTTTCACATCATTCTCTGAAACTACATGACTGGTTTCTTTCCGCTTGTTTACGACTGGATTTATTTCTTGTGCATAAATTTCTTGTGTTTATTATTACATGGGCTTCCTGTGGAAAAGCATGTTATTACATGGGCTTCCTGTAGAAAAGCCCGTATATCGCATATCGTATACAGTCCTTCCATAAAGGCACTTTCGTCGTGTTTGCGCAGGCGCTGATTACCAGGCTCCCCATGCCCTCTATGAGAGGGCATGGGGAGCAGCAGCATTTATTACTTTGCCGTGATGTTTGCTTTTATTTGTTGGAGCTTTTACTAATTTGCAGCAACATTTATTACTTTTACGTAATGTTTTGTTATTTTTGCATTAATTAACAATTGGTTCACACGTAAGCGTGCGTTCATCGAGATATGAAGGACGCAAGAAGTTTGGAGAGCATGAAAGATGCGTAAGAGTTGCTCGAGGCTTAGCCGAGAGCAACTCTAGCTTCTTGAGTGCTCTCCAAACTTCCCAAGTGCTTCATATCTCGATGAACGCACAGCTGACGTATGAACCAATTGTTTTATAACATTTTCAACCCGATGGAAAATTTTTTCTCTCGAGGGATTTGTTTCCTGACGTCACGAGCGTGCACAATAGAAATATGAAGCACGCTCGCGAAATTGAATTAAAGTTTAAAAGTTTCCGCACAGCCCCTTACTATTGTAAAACAAATCTGTTTTCCCAAAGGCAATGTATTGTTTCGTCACTGTTTTCTCTGTTCAAGAGTAGGATGGGGCTGTGCGGAAATTTTACCATCAAAAATTTCAAACCTGCTCGTTTCCTGCTTCGATATCTAATGCTAGCATGGCTTGTTTCAACCGTTATTTTGCTTTTCAGCTTCTATCACCAATCGTCGAAAAGGGATGAATCAACTACACAAGTAAAAAGCAAATTAAACCACAGCTTCAGGTTTCTGTCAAAGACTAAAATTTTAAGAGAACTCTTTCAGAAAGTGAACGGACTTGTGGGTGCGACCAGGAAAAATTCTGATGGGACTTCTGGAACGGCGGTTTGTGTTGTAGATCCAGCAATGACTGAATGTGGCGGCGGTGGGTTCTCTTCCTTTCTCCTGTACACGTTGGATCATATTATGGTGTGTCGCGCTCTAGGAATCAACCAACAAACTGTGTTCTGGAGAGGTTGTAATTCCGCTTGCGCGCGGGACCCAGCTGTAAACTCGTGGATGTGGTATTTCGAACCTGTTAACGAAGGAATGGAATCAAAAGTTGAAAATGTTTTTTGTCCTTTAATCCTTAAGGATATTACAGAAGTCAGGGTAGAGTATTTTAGTCACATGGATCAAGCTGATTTTAGGACTAGGATCATAGATAATAGTTTTAGTGATAGAAGCGACGTTGAGGGATATGGTGAAAGCCGGATCATAACAACAGCGGAAAGAATCCGTGTAAACAAATTAATTCGTCAGTATGTTAAGCCCAATTCTCGAGTAAAAGAGAGAGCAGACCTACTTTATCGTCGAAATATGGCGGGGTTCACTCTTTTAGGAGTTCAAGTTAGAGCAACAGATCACTGGATGGAAGCGAAAGATCACAAGCTGCCGTCCGTGATAAGCTGGGTGGAGAGAGCACGAGAAATTCTTGAAACTTTGCCTGAGCCAAGAAAGATTTTCATCGCCAGCGACAACAATGAAGTTATCCAAAAATTTATTGGTGTTTTTGGAAAAGAAACGGTAAGTGTTGATTTTGTATAGTGTTAGTCCATTCAGCGGCGCATTCGCTCTATTCAAAGTTTACAAGCCTTAATTTACTGGTAGCAAAAAAAGAAAACGGGAACGAATTTTCAGCCATTTGATTGTGACAGATTTGTTACAC